GATAAATGTGCGCTGTTAGACGCATATCCAATCGTTGGTGCGGAGAGTGGAAGCTGAAGCGCACTCTGCAGGACATGGAGGCGCCAGCGCGATCTCTTTGCGCCAGCGCGATCAACTCAGCGCATTGCCTCACAGACATGATAAAAATATATAGTAAGCTTTAAATTACTACTTTAAAACGAAATAATTCAAACTGAAAATAGAAACTCTTTCTTTATGTAATCCGTGCATTTTTCTCTAAAAGCACGCCCAATGAGGAAATGGCAAGTCATTTTTTTCATCACAATAATTGATGGATGTCTAAAATATAAAAATAAGGAAAAGCCTAAAACAGGCCCGATTATAATTTGTGTTTTATTTTATAATTCTGTACAATTAAAAAATAAAACAAATTATAATGGCATATATGTAAAACTTTGTCCTATAATTGTATAGCTGTTTATATTTTCTGTTTTTTTTTGTTGCTCTGCTCTGTATACCTTCAAATTTAAAGGATTTGCTGCAACGCAATTTTGTCTGATAGGCTATGCGAATTATTTATTAGCCTATTTTTTTTGTATCCATGCAGCAAATGCTTTAAAAGCAGCTTTAAAAATTACTTTATTGCATTCCAAACACTTTTAAAGTACTTTTCACTATACATTTTACAGGTAGCTTGAGTTTTATTTTATAATTCTGTACAATTAAAAAATAAAACAAATTATAATGGCATATATGTAAAACTTTGTCCTATAATTGTATAGCTGTTTATATTTTCTGTTTTTTTTTGTTGCTCTGCTCTGTATACCTTCAAATTTAAAGGATTTGCTGCAACGCAATTTTGTCTGATAGGCTATGCGAATTATTTATTAGCCTATTTTTTTTTTATCCATGCAGCAAATGCTTTAAAAGCAGCTTTAAACATTACTTTATTGCATTCCAAACACTTTTAAAGTACTTTTCACTATACATTTTACAGGTAGCTTGAATGTAAAACTTTGTCATGAATTTATTTTATTCCCATTTGTAAAATAGCCAACAAATTAATTTTTGTAGGCTAACCCGATCTCATGAAAGTGCGTATAGCACGATTTTCTGCTTCTATTTGGCATAATATTTATATGCAGAAATTGACTTTGGCATGCAAAAGACTGATAAATTCATAATTAATGGCAATATCTGGTTCAGTCGACAGAAATACGGGACACACAGGCCTATAATAACTGCTGAAATGTTTGCTGGGCAAATCTCAGGTCAGTCTGAGCGCTCATGGTACGCACAGTGCGTACAGCCGTACACTTGCAGGCGCCACTGGCTAGGATTAAGGGATCTAAAATATGGTCATGCAGATTAAGGCAGTAAAATGTGCTTTATAAGTACTAATAAACAGCCAATATGCTAGTAATATGCATGCTAATAAGCAACTAGTTAATGGTGAGAATTGGACCTTAAAATAAAGTGCAACCGATTTTTTTTTTTTAATTGGAATATTTTTTATAAACATTTTTATATAATAAAAACTATTTTAATGTAGACAAATATTTGACACTGAAAAAAATATTTGGACACTTAAGACATGTCAAAATACATTTCTGTAAATTGTACAGTTTACATGATTAAACAAAGATATACTGTTCATACTGTTTGAAGTTGTGAATAAAACAAAGATTATTTCAGTATGTTTTACAAGAAAATATTATTTAATAGATTTTTTTACTTATTTGCTTATTTATTCATTTATTTTAATTCAGTGTTACTTGCTGTGTGTTTGTAATTGTTGGTGAAATTTACCTGCGATTTCTGAGTGAAAATTGTTTCTTCACCAAATTTGTTTCAGTGAGGTTACTCTGCTAGACTACTTAGTGCACTCCAGATACTTTTTGAATCACCTATGAATTTAAAACAAAAAAGTATCTAACTGGTAGGTATGCAAAGCTAAAACTGGACTTAAGAACACAATTAAATGTTAAAGGTGAATTTCTTTAATGCTTAAACTTCTGGCTCAACTAATGACATGAGTTGAAGCAGAAATACCTGTTTGTCCAAACAGTGGCTGAAGAGGGTTTAAACATTTCAGTCAGCGTGTACAGTAAATTGGCAGCTGTAAAAGCAAATCTCAGGCTGTAACTCTCTATTAAGACTGATTTATAATCCATAACGTAAACTTGTGCTTGGCAGTATATTACACCAGGCTGCTCTGCCACACCTCAGAGGTGCTGTGTGATTTACTGACCCAACATTAAATCATAAACATGATAGCATATTAAATCAAAACTAGGCTGCTAGAAAACATAAAAATATGTCAGTATAACCAGTCCTTTGACATGAAATAAAACAACACGCATGAAAGTCTAAGGAAAACCTATGTATATTTGCATACTGTTACTGCATGTCCTTGTCCTGTACAAGATATCGCATGCAGGATTGTTTTTCTTTGACATATTATTAAAAAAAAACAATTAAGTCTGTAAGGGAAACAGGTCAATTTAGCTCAAAGGGAATTCCTTCCTGAGTTGTTATGATCAGTGTGTTCCTTTTGTGTTAATGTTGAAAGCTGTTCTGTGAAAGAGTTGGTTAGGCTTGCTTCAGACTGGCTAGTGCTAGGGTCTGATTTATGAACATCCTGTTGTCTTGGGCCTCTGTGGAATTCGGCTTCTCATGTTTCAACCATGTTTTGACCAAATCTTAGATTGTCTGATTCGGTCTGATATCCTACAAGTCCAAACATTCATACTGCCATAAGTGTGTGTGAGCCAGTATTAGAGTGTGTATGAGACAGTAGTGTCTTAAAGCGATAGTTGACCTAAATATGATAATTCTGTCATTATTTACTGTACTCATCTTCATGTTGCTCCAAACCTGTATGACTTTATTTCTTCTGTGGAACATAAAGACAGATTTTCCAAGCTGCTTTTTCCAAAAATTGTACGGTAACAAATATACAGTACACAACTGTTTAAAAGTTTGGAGTCAGTAAGTTTGTTTTGTTTTTTGTTTTGTTTTTTCTTAAGAAATTAATACTTTTATTCAGCAAGGATGCATTAAATTGATCAGAAGTGACAGAAAATACATTTATAGAGTTACAAAAAAAATCTGCTTCATATAAACGCTGTTGTTTTGAACTTTCTATTCATTAAAAGAAATAATTTAAAAATGTAAATGGTGTCCACAAAGCAGCAGAACTCTTTTCAGCATTGATAATAGTAAGAAATGTTTGTTGATCAGCAAATCAGCATATTAGAATGAATTCTAAAGGATCATGTAACACTGAAGACTGGAGTAATGATGCTGAAAATTCAGCTTTGTATCACTGAAATAAATTACATTCTACATTTTGATTTTGGTTGCACTGCCCCTTTAAGTGACTACTGTATACTGTATATAGTATTTTTTTCCTATAGATGAACAATGTTCTGTATAATTATTTTAATTTCAGAATTACTGTAAGTTATATTTTGACATCTGAAAAGTTTCATCATTGCATCTGCACGTCTCTCATGTATGTATGTGGATTTTCTGGAGTGATATTTGGTTTGAATGCAGATTTGCTTCTCCTGACTGTTTTGTTGCCTGTGGTCAGTGGACAGTCACGGATGTGTGTGTGTGTGTGTGTGTGTGTGTGTGTGTGTTTGTGTGTGAGTGAGAGTGTTTAGAGGGCATTCTGAATCACTCCACTATGCATGCATGAAAAGCTTTTAGGCAGCGGGCCTGCCAGGCACCCAGCTGTCAATTTATTTGATTTGATTTGAATTGTGGAATGGGGTTATGAAGTGTGAAACGTCAGGGCTAAAATGTTTTGATTACCCCCATACACTGTGGCCATCAATTTCCATCAGTCTCCTCTAAGATATGGAAGGTTTGTGCATCTTGGCATGAAGATGTTATCTGTAACCTAGTTTAGTAAATGTTTCTGGGCGTGTTAATTGTTAGCTGGATGTTGTTTTCAAAAATTTACATTTTTACAGCCTCGTAAAAGTGTTTTAATAAGTGGCTTGTATTTACAGCGCAGTGCACTGAATGTGCTTGTTATTCATTGTATTCTTAATATAATATTTGGGTTGCATTTCTAGTCACTGAAATTATCTCAAATATTTGGAGAGAACATCTGAATGCAGAAAAGCCAAAATAACTAAAAGAGATCCAGTAAAACAAAAATGTTCAGCACCAAATTGCTTTTCCTGTTTCAAAAGGATGATGTTATTTAGAAATATAATGTTTAAAGGAAAAATTCACCCCAAAATGAAATATGTTATTTGCTCACACTCTGTTCCAAACTTGTATGACTTTCTCCTTTCAATGAAACAGAAATGAACTGAAAGCACTGGCCAATATATATATATGTATTGCTTATTTATTATTTCTTATTTATTTAGTGCTTCTTGCGTTTAAGTCATGCAAGTCTTTTGAAATCATACTGTTGCATGGGCTTTGTGTGAAGAACAGACTGAAATTTAAGTCGCCAATCATTGAAAATGTATGCAATCTTGGTATGAGAAGACAGGTTTGACAGTGAAACAAAACTGTGGAGCATTTTAATTATTTTATTTCTTTGAAAACAACATCCTTTAATCAATATATGCTTTTAATGTATGTAAAAGACAGCATGAACATTCATCAAAACTTTCCTTGAATTTTTTCTGAATTTAAGATGACTTAATGGCAAATAAACTGACATACACTCTTAAAAATAAAGGTGCTTCAAAAGGTTCTTCAAGCGATGCCATAGAAGAACCATTTTTGGTTCCACAAAGAACCATTCAGTCAAAGGTTCTTTAAAGAACCATCTCTTTCTTGCGTTTTTGTAATCTGAAGAACCTTATTTCGCCACAAAGAACCTTTTGTGAAACAGAAAGGTTCTTCAGATGTTAAAGGTTCTTTATGGAACCATTTAGACAAAAAGGTTCTTCTATGGCATCGTGAAGCACCTTTATTTTTAAGAGTGTAACTGTCTCTATTGAATCTACTGAACCCTTGATGGAGTTATCATTGTAAAAATCTATCGGCCGCTTCTCTTTCATTAGATCACCTATAAGGCTCTTGGCTCCCTGGACCCCAGCTCAGATTTGACAACACAACGTGGCCGGGTCTTCAAACTCCAAAATGAAACCCATCATCTCTTCGTAGGGTTGTATCCTGGCACCACATACTACTTTACTCTGAAAGCCAGCACAAACAAAGGCTTCGGCCCACCCGTGACCACCCGTATTGCCACCAAAATCGCAGGTAAGGGAACAGCATGGTTTCAGCTAAAGGTTCAGCTAAGATTGGTGGATATTTTTCAAAAGTGTAATGATAATTAAACACAATTATAGTAAAACAGACCCTCAAGTTCCAGTTTAATTGAGTTGATGTGACAGACATTTGTACTTTATGGATATAGATGTCGGATTGATGTTGGACAGACTGATGATAATGTATGAAATTATTTCTGGGAACATGAACTGACAGGGTTAAATAAGCTTAATTTGATTGCTTACCTAATTACCACTTGCATTTGTAAAATTTCATAATTAGTTTTGTCATTTTGACTTTTTTGTGTCTTAAAGAAGCTTGCTGGAGCAAAAATCTCATTAGCGAGTTGTGGTATTGGCATAAATATAGTTGGAATACAGTTAATGTAAAGTGAACAAAATAATGAGAACATGAATCGTAAACAACATCCTCCACAAGTTCAGCCCCATTTCTGTGGCCTGCGGCTGTCAGTTCGTTCCGTTTCATAATGACGTGGCATTTGTGCAGCACGCCAGACACCGTTTATTAAAACCGTATTGTTCATTGAATCTAAACATTGTAATGAGAGATTGACATTTTCAATGTGATTGCATAGTAATGATCGTTTTGAGTCAGGCTTCAAAACTGTCTGCTTTCTCGTAAGAGTAAATACTGTGAAATGTATTTTTTTACAAAAACATGAATATTAATTATGCATAATATTAAAACATGTTTTTGTGTGTTTGAAAGGCAGCTGAGTTCCAAGTTCAATACAAGTTAAACTCTGTTCATCTGTAACATGCTGTCAATTGCCGCAGACAACAAGTTTATATACATACATTTATATACATATACAGTTTATAATACATGCAAGAAGTGTTTACAGTAATGGACTTTCATTTCAAAGTTTTAATACTATGCACAGAAATATTGGTCATTTTATTCTTGCAAATGCAATTAATTCATACTTATGTTACTTAAATTGATAAAAAAGTGCAAAACTTTTTAGACATCCACTAGGTCTGCTATGCTATACAGTGCGTGCTTTCTTTATATTCTGATAGTCGGTGTCCTTTAACATGAATCTATGTGTCTGCAGCTCCATCCATGCCTGAATATGAGACCGACTCTCCTCTCAATGAGACGGACATGACAATCACCGTCCTCTTAAAACCTGCCCAATCACGAGGGGCCCCTGTCAGGTGAGCATTCATCTCATGCCACTGGCCTGTTTAAAGTATTTTGCTTATTTGTTTTACATTGAAGAACTAAAAAAATGTAAAAGAAATGTGCACCTTGAATGCAAGCTTAGTCGCTTTGGATAAAAGCGTCTGTCAAATACATAAAAGTAAATGTGATTGATGTTGAGAATGTTTGCATTTGTGACATTATCTAGGAATGTACTTGTCAGGTGTGCTCTTTTGACACTTTTATTCAAGGGAGAATATAGAGAGGACAGATATAATGAGGGACTTTAAAATCCTAATTGGTTGTTATCAGTTGACTGAGATTAGGAGCCTGAAAGTTTGTCCGCTTGAGCTCTCTGGACCTCAACATCAGCTGTAAAGATTTAAGTACTTGTTCACATGCTGATTGTGTCAAACTAAAACAAAAAAAAACACTTTATTTCCATAGTCGACTTCAGACATTCTACTAGCTATAATTAACTTTGTAACTACATGTCAACTATCAGTTATTACAGTATTAGTAGACAGTCTGCTTAATACCTGTTTGAAAGAAGAGACGTCCCATTTTGGTGTCCACATCAAATTAAATTTACAAAAGGGATTTTATATACATACAGAAAGCAAGTAAAGCGTCTGCTTTACTGTTTCAAATAACTGTTATGAAAATAAAATGTCAAAATATGAGTGAAATAATGTTCTATCATCATTCATCTTAACAGATATATTTCTGTAAAAATGAAATAATATACTTGACCTGTAATATGCCCTGTACTTATTAAAATAAGTAAAAGAATAAGTGATCATACTAAATATATTATTATGTTTTATAAAGCTTCTTTCTGACAAATGGGTAAAACCTATTGCACTGTGATCCTAAAGTAATGCCATCTTATTAATGCCATCTAATGATTCTTGTTCTAAAAACTAAATACTATTGTTACACTAAATTATGTTTTAGTGGGTGTCTTCTGTAAATCATAGTAAAAATGTATGATAGTCATTATTTTTTGCTCAGAAAAAAAATCTAATTAAACAGGACACATTCTAATGTACGGTGGTAAAAAAATCTAAATGTTAAGCTGTATTAAACTTGAATTGTTTTGATGCTTGAAAACCCTTTTTCATCTTTGACCCATCTGTTAACACTTTATTTTAATAGTTCCCTAACTGACATTCTACTGTAACTTTGCAAGTACCTGTCAGCTTATTCTACTAACCGTAACCCTGTCCTAACTGTCTACTAATACTCTAATAAGAGTTAGTTGACATGTTGTTGCAAAGTTACTTATAGTAAGAATGTGTAAAGTGAACTGTCTGTTCAAAAAAACTGTTTAAAATATTGTTTTAAATCTGCAGATAGGTACGAACCACATTAAAAGCCAAGAAGACACCAAATTACCCATGATCCCTCTCTTCAATCATCCAAGAGGGGTCTAGTGCATCGTCTGAATGAAGAAGTGCATTACTGTTGATTCACTCAGGGTCCTGAGGGTTTTTAAATGCAGTCATTCAAATAAGCATCATTTGTATGCTAAGCCTTCGAGGGGATCCTGGTCCATTTGGCTGTGTTTTGGCACTCAAACAAAGCCCTTCTCTGTGTGGAAATTCAGTCTGTGAATGTGCAACAGATTTTGGCAAATTCTCGAAATTGCAAGTCGAATCTGACTTGGAAGAACAGCAGAGTTGATGTGCAATGGGAGCCCATCAGTAATTATGACAATTATTTGGTTGCATGGACTGTTCTGAGTTGTGTTATTTTAGTATCATTGAACTACTATTAAAGTTTTTATTACAATTTTAAATCAGTTTTTATTTTTATTTTAATTTTAGTTAAAGTTTTTGTTGTTTTTTGTTTTTTTATAGTTTGTTTTTTATATACTTTTCTATAGTTTTAGTTTATAATAGTTTTATTTCAGTTTTAGTTTTATTTATTTTCCACATCAAGTTGAGTTTCAGTGAGAAATGTTGCCTTTGCAACTAGCTTAAATAAAAAAGTTTTTTATATTATTTTATTTTATTTCAAGTAGTAAAAATGTTTTTTAATGTTTTTAATTTTAGTTTTAATTAACTATAATAACCCTAGTATTAGCATTTGGCAAGACAACATAAGATAACATAAGATTCAAATAATTATATTGTATTATATTGTATTAATAAATTCTTTAGGCAATTTTATTCATGTTTGCATATTTATATTTAATATATTTAAGGGTAAACCAAAATGCACTGATGCATGTTTTATTATAAACAAGTGGAAAACTGTTTTTCCATTGTTAGTTTGCTCTATAATGCATACGACCCTGGCAATCCATAAGCGTCTTTATGAAAAATATGCAACTGAAAATTGTTTATAATTACAGCAGCTTTCGACCAGGGTTACAGCGGACACACGACATCCAGTGTGCACTTAAAGCCATTAGTTTGAAATGGAGATCCAGTGTGTTTGAAAGAGAAGAGCAGGCAGGCCTCTTTGGTCATGGGAAATTATCCTTTATGAAAGATGCCAGATTAGAGGCTTCTTTTCAGCGAAACATACATTTCCCTAATTGCACATAATTGGGAAGTATGTTCTTTGTTTAAGACCACATAATTGCAAACAAGTACTATTAGCACTGGGAGCTCAAAAGATGTCCTTATCTATTCACCGTGTACTGAAACACACACATGCCCCTCTCCAGGCCTTCCCCACGACGAGCACTTTCAAAAAGCCTCATGCGCACAAATCCGCCACCTCCCCTCCAGCTAATTACCGTAGTAGAGATTTCCCTCTGCTGGCTCACTACTGCATCACTTGCCTCGTCGTTTTCTCTCAAGAGAAGCAGCTGTGTATTTTTGGGTCTCATGCAGGTTTAAAGAGTTTTTTTTTTATTCCAAGAAAAGAGTTTAATAGAGATGTTTAGAAGCTAGTTGTTAGCGTTAGAGAGTTCTTGGTGGCTGACAAGGCCTTCTGTGATTCTTAGAAAGCTACTGGAAGAGATGTTCTTGATGGTTTTAATGGCTCGTTAAATTGCTTCGGGCACAGCTCCCTCTCTCTTTTTTGGATGTGCCATCGCTAGCTGAAGATATTTCTCAAATCATGAGGCTGCAGTATAAGTGGCTAATGCTAAAGCATGCACTGTAAAAAATTATTGTGATTGTAACAGTAAAAGACTGTAAAAATGCTACAGTAAAAACCTGTTAACTGGTTAACAGTACGTTTCCATACTATATTCGGTGAATAAATGTAATTACATTTAATGTCATTTTACAGTAAAATACTGTTAAAAAATACATTTTTTGGAAGTGAAAAAGTCATAATTTACAGTGACAAACCGTAAATTGACACTCCCAGGATTCCTTGCATGACACTTCATTTTTTTTTTTGTTGTTGTTGAAATAACATGTTTCTTCTTAGTTTTTTCTTATCAGTTGTGTACATTAGGGTTTAATCTTACATCTAATGTTGTTAAATTAATGTTTATTGCATTATTTCAGTATCATGTGTGTCACTATGATGGGGTTTAGTGTTTCTGTGAATGACACCGTGCACCTTCTATATATAAGTACTGCCCTCCTCAGCTCGTAGAAAAGCTGTTTGTGATGAGCTTTGGTTCATCATGTGACTTTCTCATCACCACCAGTCTTTGGTGGTTATCAGTGCATTACAATGGTTCAAAACAGATATTAGTACTTCAATATGTTGGTTTATTAACATTAGATCAGTTAATGATATACGGTATTTTATTGTGAATTTAAGATAAGTCTGTAAAACCTAAAATGTTGCTACCATATTTTTTACGGTGAAGTTCTGGCAACCACAGGTATTTACAGTATTTTACTGTAAATGTCACCGATTTTTGTACAGTGTGTGCTTAAATATTAAAATTGACACTTTTTACATTTCCTAATACATTAGGCTAGTTTTATAGTTATGAGCACTATTCATCAGTGCTTGTTGTACTTAAGAAAAAAGGTTGTTATTATAATTCCCAGTAGAATAAATCAAGCCCTGTCCTACTGTTTTCTCACTGAATATGTGTTTTCCTCACATTACAGAAATCTCAATTATTGTAAACTTGCTTCATGTCGACTTAAATAAAAATGTATTGGAATTTAGCCTCTTCATCAATTTTTGTGAGGCCTCATCCGAGAACTACAATAATGACATATTAGGTACATTGGTTTTGATATTTAGTACACTAATTCATCTTTTTTCCCCCCCTAGTGCTTATCAAGTGGTGGTTCAAGAGAAACGAAAGCAGAAAGTTCGCCGAGCCACGGATGTGTTGGAGTGTTTCTCCATTCCTGTTAGCTTCAGAAACGCCTCCATCTTGAATTTACCTCACTATTTTGCGGCTGAACTCCCCCCTGTTAGCCTTGCTGTAGTACAGCCCTTTACTATAGGAGACAACAAGACTTATAATGGCTACTGGAACGCACCACTGTCACCAGCCAAAAGCTACAGCATTTACTTTCAGGCCTTGAGCAAAGCCAACGGGGTGAGTATTTCATTTACTGTTTATTTCATACACCAATCTAATGTTCTCGATAACGGTTGACACTTAAGTATTGATTAGTAAATCTCCCAAAACCTGGCTGGGTCATATTTCACCCCAAAATCAAACTGAATATTTTGTACAGGAAAATCGAACATTTTAATCTTCATGACAAACATATTTTCTTTTTTCTTCTTTTTCTTTTTTTTTTTTTACGTATATTATTTACTAATGTATGTTTCATACTAACAAATGCTGTGAAGCATGACCATCTAAAAAACTAATGCAAGTGCATGTCAAAAAATATAAAGCAAAATCACACTGTTGGCACACTATTACCATTTTTAATTAATAATATTTTTATCCTAATATATAACTGTATTTTTTTTTACTATCCAAAAGTTAAACATAATAGGAATCAAAATAAGAACCATTATTGACAATAATGTGAATTATAAAAATAAATACAAAAAACACTCATTATGATAATGGTGGGAAATTTCAGATTTTTCTTTTTTCTTTATTCATATTATTATTAGTAGTATTAGGGTTGCAAAAAAGTGGATAATTTCAAGTAAATTTTGGAAATATTCCAGAAATTTTAGAAACTTTCCAGGATTTTTTGGAATATTTCAGGGATTTTTGGAAAGTTTCCGGAAATTTTCCACCCCTTTGCAACCCTAATTAGTATTATTATATTGTAAGATTCAACCTTAAACAAGCAATCTTTACAATTGAGAAGTCTTATCAATGAAGAAAAAAACTAACTGATATCACATTTCGAAGCATAAAGCTGTACGTCGACAAGTCTAAAAGTACACAGAACATAACCTTTGCTCTATATCATCCAAAATTACAAGGCTGTCCTAGAAATGGGTAGATATATTAATGCATATTTAGATATATATTCACGTATTAGCATTTAAGCAGGCATAATGCGCTCAGCAAAGGCTCCATTTAGGCCTGCTGCATTGCTCTGCGTTTTGAAGTATGTTGTTCCCGATTTGATTGGATTTGATTCAATTCAATCTCTCAGTCTCAGGCGGCTGGAGAAAAGCACTCAAAAACAACCTCAGACCATGACCCAGATAATTTGATTGGATATTCATGCATAAAATATGGATTTAGGTTGGTAGTTCAGATTTGTTTTCAACTTACCTTGTTCCAAGTGTGTTCGAGGAGCGCTCGGTGTAAATGTGTGCCATTAGATTTTTTTTTTCATTTCCACAGTGCAAGGTAACAAATAAATTCACAATGCAGTTCAGTGCAGAGATTACCCATCATATTGATAGCTATTCAAACCGGCTTTATGTAGCATTTGTCATTAGTAGAATCATGTATTGAGTTGATGCATTCTGTGCAGTTTTGTAATGATATTTATGCAAGAAAATACAAAACGATATCACTGCTTTATACAGTGGCTCCGAAGAGTATTTGGACACTCAAGCGACACTTAAAAATGTCTGAATGTGATTGCACTGGATAACAAATTATCACACCAAGTGTAGACAAGTGTACATTTCAAGTTTGTTTTAGTTTGTATTATCTAATAAAGACCTTCAGAGATATTTAAGACTCACTCAAGCATCCAAGTACTTGTAGGCGCCACTGTAAAAGTTATTAAACAAAACCAGAAACCAAAAACATTGTACAATGCAATACTCTCTAATGAACTACCTTTGCTCCATAATGTCAGAATGAGCAGGCAACTGTAGTCCACATTAAATTTGCTAGTCATCATTATTAATTTCCATGGAGTTGAAATGCCAGCATGACTTTTAAAGGCCTTTTCAGATGAAGTGTGTCATTTTGGGGGTGTTAAAATACTTTTAAAGCCAGTCATAGGTTGATTCTCCCGAAAAGAGCCCATCTTCTGTGGACATAGCAAAAATGACACACATTACCTTTAAAGACAGAAACACTGCTGTTTCTTGATCTCTCCATGTAGCAGCAGTCCATAAACGACAGCATCTCATGAGCGCCACTGCCCACAGAGTTTCTCCTGGCACTGCTAATAGCACCAGGTCACTTTTGATAGACTTTATCACATCAGTCTTGCCAGAGAAAGCGAGAGAGAGGGACAGTCAGGGGAATAGTGGTCTCAAACTGCTCTAAGCTAATTTAGGATTCCTCCGCTCGCTTTTGTCCCTCCGGTGTGTTTGTGAACAGGGCCGCAGACGCTCGGGCCAAAAGAGCAAGTAATTGCCGCTGCAGGCGTCTTTTGTTCTGAAAGAGGGATACGGAGTTGTGAAGAGGCACTCACTCGTTTAAGTGGCTGAACCCACACTAGACAGAAATTGAAACAGACGCATGCAGCTTTTAACAAAATAGAACCCGCAAAGCGTGTCCTGTCTTTGGTGTGAAGCAGGTAAAAGAACAAGTTTGTGGCACATCGTTTCCACTGACGTGTAGCTCTAATAGGAACAAACAGCTTGCATTTAAAATTTGTGACCTGTCAAAGGTGAATTCACTGTTTGTTGGAGTGTGCAGCTATTATTGGACAACTTGATTAAAAAAATAACCAAGCAAAAAAAGTGTGTAAAACATTTTCCCCTTGGTATAGTGTTAAATGGTCAGTTGGCAGGTCACACAAATACTGAAGAAATATTTAAGAATCTGCACTATTTCTAGATCAAATTGTCAGAAAAGGTCAGATTTTCCTTTATTCTACTGAAGCACAAAATGCTCTAATAATAATAATAATCATAATTTTATTTATTGGTTAGTTAATTTTTATTTTATTTAGTATTAACAACAACAACAACAACAATAATAATAATAAATAATGTTGTTTATTTATTGGTTAGTTTCATTTTTTATTTTATTTTATTTTATTTCATTTTATTTTAATAGTAGCTTTTTCACTAGCTCTCTTTCACCTTTGGATCCAATCGTATATACATTTGAAACTAAAATCTTGGTGAACTACCCAAACTGTGTGCCTTGGTGCATTCAAACACTGCAGAGTTTTCATTTGGTCAGTGCAATGAAATACTTAAAGCAGTATTCATATATTCATGAATATGATTAATTGCTTCCTAATTGCATAAATGAAATGGGAATAGCCTTAATCATGGGTTAATTAGTGTATAACCCTCTTTCTGTTGTTCTGTATAGCGTCTGATAGCATTGATACTCTTGGTCGGGGACAAAACATTTCTCTCACTGCGGTCGGGAGTGTTTTTGAAGCGTCTCGTACTTCTTTCACATGTTTTTAGAGAATCTCTTGCCATTTCTTTCTTCATTTACACCTAACGCTGCAGTCAGCTGTCATGCTTTCCTTTGTTCTTTATGAAAAACAGAGTGCTCTGTATGAATGAAAACACTATAGACAGCAAAAGCAGCTTGTGTCATTGTTTTCTGTTTTGTTTTTTAGTTTCTTTTGCCTAATCCTCCTGCTAATACTTCGCTAGACTGGAGGTGTTACTCTCGAAAGCAACATCTCCTGAAATAGTAGCGCCGCTGTCTCAAATACCTCCAGATGACTGGCTGATGCCACTTTTCTTTTGTTATTTTGTGCTGCACGTTTCTTTTATTCATTCTCACTGAAGGAGCGTTTTTCCTCCTGAGCCCCTAATGTGTAGATGATTGCCTCAGGAGGTTGTTGTAATCATTCATACCTGTGTTCATAATTCGTAATTATAAGCATCCATTTCACAATCTGTTTAAAACGCTGTAGAAACTGGGTGAACTCTGTTTAAATTTGTTCGTGTCTTTTTTTGTCTCCTAGAAAATGATGTTTTTGATCAGCCTGTTTGTGCGACATGCAGAATATGATTATGACAAATAAATAGATTTTAAAAAGAAATAAAAAGAAAACAACTACATTTTGTGCTTTCTTCTAAGGAAACACAAATTGGTACTTGGCTGTGCTGACCTCACCACCAGAAGGTGTTTTGGTGGTTGCTAGGATGTTGCTATGTGGTTGCTAGGGTGTTCTGGGTGGTTGCCAGGGTATTGCTTATTGGCCCAAGTAAAAAAAAACTGAATTGTCTCACTGACATTCTGGTCTAAAATTATGGTTGCTAATGGTTTGAGTGTTGATGTGTTGTTGCTATGGTGTTGTTAGGGGTCAGGAGTCCTGGGTAGTTGCCAGGGTGTTGCTATGTGGTCATTAGGGTTTTCTGGGTAGTTGCTAGGTAGCTGCTTAATGGCCCAAATCAAAGGAGCTCAAGTCTTTCTGACATTCGGGTTCCAAGATATGGTTGCTAATGGTTTGAGTGTTGCTGTGGCGTTGTTAGGGGGTTGGTAGTGAGTTCTGGGTTTTTGCTTGGGTGTTTTTGATGGGCAGTAAGGAATTGCTAGGGAATTCTGTGAGGTTGCTATGGAGTTCCGGGTGAGTGCTAGCGCCTTGCTAGAGAATTCTGAGTGTTTGCTTTGGTTCTGGGTGGTTACTAGGTGACTGCTAAGGAGTTGCTAGGAAGTCCTGGGTGGTTGCCAGAGTGTTGCTATGTGGTCATTAGGGTGTTTTGGGTAGTTGCTAGGTAGTTGCTTACTGGCCCAAGTTAAAAGAGTTTTTCTGACATTCTGGTTTCAAGATATGATTGATAATGATTTGAGTGTTGATATATTGTTACTATGGCGTTGTTAGGGGGTTGGTAGTGAGTTCTGGGTGGTTTCTATGGGGTTTCTAGGAGTTCTTGGTTGTTGCTAGAGTGATGCTAAGTGGTTACCAAGGAGTTTAGGGTGATTACTTGGTGTTTCCTGAGGGGTTTATAGGGAGCTCTTGGTGGTTCCTAGGTGGTTGCTAAGGGGTTGCTATTGCATTCTGGGTGGTTGCTAAGTAGTTTCTATGGAAAATTAATAGCTCAGTTTTCCACAGCAAGTTGCCCAGTTTCATCATGAATCATGTCTGTAGCATATATGTGGTTATTTGTTTCTTCTAGAGGCCCAAACTTTGCAGAAATCAATGTGTTCACTCTTTGACCTAGTTAATAGTTAGATATGTGTTCCTAGGTTGCAGTAGCTGTTGTCATCAGGCAAGAATTGCTGCAGGCGTGTCAAGATAAGTGCTGTAATGGCTAACTAATCCATAACATGCTTCAGAATTGAGTGAGTGACCGACATATGGATTAATTCTAGCAGGCATGGCAAAAAGCTGAACAGTGACATGAAATCCATATTCTTTAACTGCTCTGGCTAACCATTAGGCATTTGTCATAAGAGTCCCGTGTTCTTTTTTAAACACATCAATGAAATCTTGTCACTCAAGCTTAGTAAATTGCAGTCAGTTGAATTTGTCTGTGGAGAGTTATTAGCTTATTTTGCTTTCCCTTTCTTTCAGAACTGTCATGCATGTCCCACTCATTCAATTTCTCAACAACAGCCTTCTTTTTTGCTTTTGTTTGGTTTCAAAACATTCTAACCACCATAGCAACTGCATAGCAACAATTCAGAATACCTTAGCAACTGCCTCACAACACCCTGACAACGAGCCATAGCTCTTTAGCATCACTGCACAGACCAGCACCACTCATGTTTTCCTTATAAAATCTATAAATCCAGTACTGATATGCAATCTGCTCATAGTAATTGTGCAGTCAGTCAAAATAATTAAGTTAATGTTTAGATGAAGGCTCGTTTTCACTCGCTACCTTTCAGTTTCCCCTGAGCTGCAAAGATTTGTTTTCTCCATCTTTCTCAGTCTTTCTCTCTCCGTCATTACACGGCCATCGTAAAAAGCCTTTGACAGTGTCAGTGAATTATTTGACTGGAGGGGCAGACAGTATAGCTCAGCTGTCACTTCCTATAGGGATGTTTCCCATCAGCCAAGAATCCCCTATTATTCCATTCCCCAAGTCCCAGCGCTCCGACTGCACTCAGAAACGAAGTTCCGGCCCTCACCTCACCTTCCTCTCACCCTTTTCTATTACAAAATGTACTGGAGCCATCGCATGGTGTATCCGAATTTTAGGTAACACTTAGATTAGGGAACACATATTCACTATTAACTAAGAGTTTTCCCTCAGTAAACTCCTAATTCGCTGCTTATTGGTATTAAGTAAAGTAGTTGTTGTAGTAGTTATGTTTAGGTATTAGTTAGGTTTAAGGGATCAAGAATGTAGTACTGCAGAGTAAGGCATTAATATGTGCTTTAGTATTAATAAGTATTAGTATTAACCGCTAATATGCTAATAATATGCATGCATTAAGCAAATAGTTAATAGTGTATAGTTTTCCCTAATCTAAAGTGTTACTGTATTTTGATATGTACCATGGTTCTACAATTAATTTACCATGGTGTTTACGTGGTCTCTTCTCACCTTTTTCACCAACAAAAAAGTATCAAAATGTACCATGGTCCTACCATATTTCAGAGAAACACTACTGCTCAAAAGTTTGAGGTTGGTGATTTTTTTATTTCTTTTTATGTTCATAAAAGTCAATTCAAGTCTCTCATGCGCACACATTTATTTGATCAAAAATACTGTAAAAACAATAATATTGTTTTTGTTGTAATATTATTAAAATGTAATATTTTTGTGGAAACAATAATAAATTTGTTTCTGCATTCTGCGATGAATAGAAAGTTCAAAAGAACAGCATTCATTTTAATTATAATTTTTGTACCATTATAAATGTATTTACTGTCATTTATGATTAGTTTAATGCATCCTTGCTGAATAAAAGGAAATAAATTATTTTGTTTTTCAAATTCCACTGCCGTGTCTTGCGTTATTCAAAGCAAAAACACGTTCTGTGTGATTTGTGAATGCCTTTTAGAATGCAACTCATAAGGGTTTTGATTGCCTTGAGCCAAATTGATATGTGCAATGAAGTGTTGCCAAGGGGATTTTTAACATTTCTGAAGAGTGCCGCTGATAAAGGCTTAGTGAAGTTATAAAATAAATGCTAGGAGAGAGACTGCATGCATTGCCTTTTCAAAATGCATTTTCTGATAGATTTTTTCGTGGTGTTTGCTAAAACAGGCTTCGTTACTGTTGTTAGGGTCAGTCATTTAAGCCAAGTCATCTTTATTTATATACCGCTTTATACAATACAAATAGTGTCAAAGCAGCTTCAGTGTTAAACAGGAAAATGGTGTGTTGATAATGTTGGAGGACAACATTAAACAGTCAAATTTTCAGTTTAAGTGAGTTCATTGTTGATTCAGTGATGTCATCATCCAACACAGTTAAGTTCTCTTCAAATTGTTTCCGTGCAATCAAGCTGACAATATTGCCAGAACTTAAGTGTCCCCAACTAAGCAAGCCAAAGGCGAAAGTGGAAAGGAATCAAAACTCCATCGGTGACAGAAATTGAGAAAAAAAACCTCTCAGTCGCGGGGCTAGTTCTCCTCTGGCCAGACAAAATGAGCATGGTGTGGTTTAATTCCATGCTGCAACACAAGTCAGATTGTGCAGAGGACTCGTCTGGTTCTCGTGGTCTTGTACCGATGGCCGTCTAGTTGACGAGGTCTTCGCAGGGGATCTGTCTCTAGGGCTCATCTAGATGACATGGTCTCCACTGACATTTAGGGCTGTAGAGGTTGTCTCTAGGTGCTGATCCACCATCTGGTCTGGATACGGACTGGTTCTGGGTGACTGCAGTGACCATCTGATCTGGATATGGACTGGATCTGGGTGGCTACGGTGACCTCGGAATAAGAATGAAAGGAACTAATATTAGCGTAGATGCCATTCTTCTTACGATGTAACAAGTACTGTACATCTGGGGTTATAGGAAGTGTTCCCGGTTCCAGTTGACCTAGTTTGACCTAGTCTATGCATCCCATAGACTTACATTGAAGGAGGGGCTGGGGCCATATATAGGGGTCAGAATAGGGGTCTTTTGACTTGGGCCAGTGCATAACCACCTAGCAACCACACAGAATACCATAACAACTGCAAGGCAACAATTTGGCAAATACATACTAGCTGTATCATCAACTTTTTTTCCAATGCATTACTTTTATAATAACATCTAATAAAACAAAAACAGCAAAAACCAAGTATTTGCAATGGTATAACAAACTATTTTTTTAGTCTGTGTTGTCACGTCTCTGGGTAGCAACATTCTGAACTTGTAAAGAATCAGTTGGCAGATTAATTTGAATGATTTATGCAGAATACAGCAAAGTGATGTTGAGTGGTGCTAAAATAAAGCAAAAAATGTTTTTTGCAGTTTGAGAACATTTGTGGGGTTTATTTAGTAGTCGGCTATCATTCAGCAGATAATTTTATCTAATGCAACTTGTAGTGCACTTATTAGGGTAGAAGCACACTCTGGGCATGTGCACATACACAGATGTGAATGTGAATCGTTTTCGCACTGTCATGACGTTTCAAACCCATAAGACCTAATTAATCTTCAAAATACAAATTAAGATATTTTTGAAGATACTTTCTGTCCCTCCGTTGAAAGTCCAGGTGTTGTAAAATGAATTCATATGATCTATATGATCATAATCCATATGATCCAAGTCTTGTGAAAGATATTATTTTTTTATATGATGAACAGGATCAATTTACCCTTTTATTTACATCCAAACAATGATCAACACATAGATAGAGAACACATTTGAGGTTCTGTGTTTACCATGTGTGATGCCTCTATGTATGTGTGTTTATATATGAATAAAAGCATAAAACAGTTGCGCTGCCATGACTATTAGTTTACCTAAAAGAGAAAAATGAGTGCAGAAGAAAATATCTGCTATAGAGCCCCCTGTGGCAACGCTGAGATTACAACATGTACTTCTGACTCTCTTTTCAGATGTATAATACAGCTGCTATACAATATAACTTTATGAAATACTGCCATTAGCAAAACCTTTCAAGGCCCTTTGATGTGTGGGCATTACTGTTTACATGCCTGCTGAGATGAGGTGCACAAGGATAGCAGATCTAATCAAAACAAGTGGCTGTTGTAAACACGCTCACAGAAACACATGGTAGCATCTGGCTTCCTGTCTCAGAGCTCTAAACTTCCATGCAGACTTCACACCAAAATCTGCCGACTAATTAACACCTGTCATGCCACACGTGCCATTCAGAGGATGCAAGTGAGATTTTTATCATCAAAACTGGCATTCCAAAAGCAGCCATGAATGCTTTTGAACAGAACAGAACAGAACAGAATAGAATAGAATAGAATAGAATAGAATAGAATAGAAAAATGATTTATGATGTAAATGAACTGTTTTATTCATATTAATGTTTAATATGACTAAATTAACATGGCTGCCTGGGTTATACCATCAGAAGTATTTCTTTAAAGGATCAAATCAGATGGTATGTGCTATGACTGTAGAAGAACAGAATATAATAGAAAAATGTTTTGTCATCTACTGTACATTAACAGTTTTATTCATATTAATGTTTATTACTGTATGACTGAAACAACATGACTACATTGGGTTATACCATCAAAAGTCATTTTTACAGGATCAAATCAGGTCATATGTTTTATGATTGTACAACTTTTATGACCTTAAATTTACTCTTTACTTAACTTGGCTGTGGTGACTTTACATGCACGGGAAAACTGAACTATAATGTTAGCTTCTCTCTGTTTTGGCCTCAGCTCTGCATTTGTGTATCCTTCACTATCATTAGAAATGTTGTTATATAATTAACTGTTTCTTAATGTCATGCACCTCATGATGAAAATAACCCGCACTTCATTGTGTTGCAATTACTAAGATCACTGTAGCTTGACAAAAACCATGTTCCCCAATGCAGTGTCGTTTTGACGTTTAATTAAAACACAAACTTTCCTTTCCTCTTCCAGGAAACCAAAATCAACTGTGTGCGACTGGCTACCAAAGGTATGAGAATTTTTTCACTTATTTTTAGCTTGTATGAATGAAGCATTTTATTATTAATTACTATTGATTTATTTGTTTATTTATTTGCTTGTTCCTTTGTATATTCAGATAAGACTTGCTTTGGAAAAGTTCTTTGGCTGGGTTGATGTTTGGATAGTTCTGTCTAATTTAAATCCCTGTAACCCAACACACTCAATCAAATTCAATGAAATCATGTTTTGGTTGGAATTAAGCAGATGTAATATTAGAAATGTTATTTCCTCTGTATTCTTAATAGACCTTTGATTTTATAGTGGAACCCATTACTAAACATGATGGTTTAAAAATGGACGAAGCCTTTTAATTTAAGTTGTACATTCAGACAAACCTCAGTTGCATCAGACTGAGATTAGTGCTCCCGGTTTCATTGAAAAATCTGAAATCCCATTTTATTTTACCTGCATGATTATCTGCCTCTGGCCAACAATTCTGTTCAGTTTCTTTTGCTCCATTTCATTTCCCCTTCTCTCTGTAAAAAGACCCTTTTACATAATCACTTCCAGGACCAGAGCAATCACAAGAGACTTTCTATTATTTAATGGACATCACAGATAAAGAGACACTACAGCTGTGCATCTTTTTTTTCTTCCCCTCATCTTTCTTTTCCAGTTTTCTTTCATTCCTTTTGGCTTTTTCACCATCTAATTCAATAATAATGCTTCTGCACAAACCTGTTTGTTTGTTTGTTTTGCTGAACTCATTTTATTTTGCTCCATGTCAAGATTTTTTTTCTTCTTTTTTTCCTTTCATATCCCAGATAGATCCGTCCTGAGTTGGGTTCTTATTATGATTGTAAAAAACCAATTACTTTTGTGTTTCTGCTTTAGAAAGACATGCTTTACACTTTGTGATGCCTTGGATACAGACATTTGAGAGTTTCAACCTTTCCTTGCCTTTTTAACGTTGATGTTTTTAATAGGTTTAGATTACGGGGTGAATTCACTAAACTGTTGCGTGACTTTTGCACACAGTATTCAAGCAAAAGCTTATTCTCTTATTCACTCACCACCTGAAATCTAGTTTAATAAGAATGGAAAAGTTCTGCACTGTACTTAAATTAAGTAGTTGCCATTCATTTGAGAGCAAACACATCTCCTACCTATGTGCATTAGACTGATTTGAGGTTGCGCCTTGATCATGAAACCAAGCGCTATGTGCTGAAATATTAAGTTCAAGGAGTGCACTGTCTGCATTTTAAATAACTGATTAAAGGAGTAGTTCACCAAAAATGAAACTTACCACGCCATCTAAGATGTAGATGAGTTTGTTTGTTTGTTGGAACAGATTTGTAGAAATGTAGCATTACATCACTTGCTCACCAATGGATCCTCTGCAGTGAATGGGTGCCGTCAGAATGAGAGTCCAAACAGTTGATAAAAACATCACAGTAATCCACAAGTAATTCACACTACTCCAGTCCATCAATTAACGTCTTGTGAAGCCAAAAGATGTATGTTTGTAAGAAACAAATCCATCATGAAGATGATTTTAGCATCAAATCGTTGCTTCCTCTGTCCATAATATTGCTTTCATATTTTGGCCAGAAGTGATGGATGCAAACGCCTTAATGATGAATTTGATTTATACAAACACACAGCTTTTCACTTCACAAGATGTTAATTGATGGATATTTCTCCAAATCTGTTTGTATAACAAAACAAACTTGTATACATCATGGATGGTCCAAGGGTGAATACATTTTCAGCAAATTTTTGGGTGAACTGTTCCTTTCAGGTGTTTGGATTGCAGTGGTAGAACTGTATTATATCAGTTAAGTATGTCAAATCCTCCACATCCTTGCACTCAGAACCTGGCGTGCAAGCTGGGGAATTGTTACATGCAATTTTGCAATTTTGAATTCAGATCAAATTTTGTAAGTCTCATTGGCATAGTTACCTAATTTGCATAATTCCTTTATTGAATCGGTTGATAAAACAATGCAAATACAAATTAACAACAGCAGACGCAATTCAGTCTTAGTGCATTCCCCCCGTATTTTTTTTTTTTTCCATTTTCATACAATTGGAGACTCAGAATAGAACAATTTTTCAAAGCCACATAAGGCCTCAACTGGTAAAATATTTGCATTCATATGAAAAATATCTATTTATAAAATTTTCTACAACTTCTATGCTTACTCTGACAGTTCCACTAGATGATTCTGGATTAATATTAATTTTCCCATGTGAAATAGCCTACCTGTTGTGTCCTACACATTTCAGTTTCCTTTCCAGCCAAATGTTACTCACTCGAAGGAAGCTCAGATGCTTGAGTTGAAAGCATAATTCTTTAGACTATTTTTTCTTTCCTTCTTTTCTCTCATGCATGCCGGCCTGGAACGTAAAACCTTGTGTTAGTGGTAATAGGTAGGGGACAAAATACCACGCCCTACATACTTGTCTTTCCCAGTGAAGGTGAATATTATTCCATAGTCAAACTTTTCTTTCTTCTTTCTTCTTTCCACCCTTCCACATTTCTTCTGCTGTTGTTTCCTTCTCTACTTTTTATTTTTTTATTTTTTCAGACCTTATTCTGCTTCTCTCCATCAGCATCTTAATGCATTTTTTGCATGTCTGGTTCACTAAAAAGTCTAGCTGGTTCTCATTGACTCCATTGACACTATTGTAATTTGGGACCCTGAGAATGTACAGTGCCGCCCACACGTTTTAAATGATCGTATTATTATTAATATTTCATGTTTAAAAACAACAGATATCCCCTCTCTATGATAGTTTTGCTCATGACCTTGTTATGCGCTGAAAAACTGAATCCATAATGAATATCAATTATCCTCCTTTTAAAGAAAACTGCCTACTTAGAAATTACATAATCTTGCTTTGAATGATCTGTTGTTAATTTAAAAAAAATTCCTTATGTTCTTCTTATTTATGAAAATGTTATATATAATGGTATACAGTATATAATAAATAAATTATTGATACATTTAATTTAATTTATTTATTTAACTTTAGCTCTATAACCCAGCCTTGCTATTGTTCTGAAGTAAATTAATCTATTTTTGTTTCACTCAGAACATTATTTAAATGTTTGGATATGCATAAAGATGTTTTACTGTAGAGCTTAATACGTTTCTGAGCAAAATGAGAGCATAAAGTGATATATGTTGCCTTGCCTACAACACTCCACCCCTTACATGTGCAAGTGACCGCTTCACCTAACATGACCCCAGTCATACACTCTTACCCTGCCAGCCTATCCTGTGGGTGTGTGTGTGTGTGTGTGTGTGTGTGTGTGTGTGTGCGCACATGTGAGTGTGTTTGCCAGCATGTGTATGTTTGTGTGTATTTACTATTCTAGATATGTATTCCTGTGCACATTTACAATGTGTGTGTGTGTTAGGAAGTATTGAGTATATTTATCTGTTATATATATTTTTTTATTGTGTGTTCATATTATTCTTCATTTATCCCTAATATTAATTATGTATATTGAAGGATTTTGATGTCAAGCTCTAACATGTGAGCACACACACAGGTGTCAGCTTTTCCATTTCACTCTACAGTCATATACAGTACAATATGTTCAATTGCCCTGACTGAAATTACAAATTGCTTGCACTAAAATATCTTACATTTCTATAGGGTCTAGCTGGATATCTGCATTGCACAGGAGATAGCCGACTTTTAGTCAGCTAGTGAACCGTTACAATGCCTAATCGTCTGAATTAAGCAGATTAAAGCTGTTGTCATTTTACGTTTTAAATACATATTTTGACATGCAAGGATCATAATTATATTTTGAGAGTTGAATTTGAGTGTACAGTGCCCCCAAAAAGTAATTAGACACTTGAAACTTGAATATGCATGAATGTCATTGCACTAGTTAGCCTATTAAAGCAAGTGGCGTTTATAGTAAAGAAGTTTGTTGGGTTTTAAATGAACTTTTATGCAACTTTCATACCATACTTAACTAAAAATTGCATTAATAAATAACATTATTTAATTGCAGGTGTAACTTGGATTGATATTTTGTGATATTTTGATTCTATGCAATGAAATTCAGATATTTTTAGGTGTGGCTTTTCGAGACACTTTTTGAGGCCAGTAATATTCACTTTGAAATAAAAAGCAAAACCTAGTTGTGTTTGCTGCGTTATCCCAGCAGATCCAATAACAAGCAAAAGAAACAAACAAAAGACATCATGCATTATGCATGTACACTTTGAGCTTGAAATCAATTGTCAGTTTACACAAATACCTTTGTTTCTCAATGCTCCCATCTGGAATTTAGCAAAATGCTCTAGACCAACAATGCTTAAATATAAACCCAAGTACACATGTGAATTAGAAACAAAAGGGATTTTAAACTAAATGTATTTACAATCCACCCATTAACCTCTCTGTGTTTGGTGAAGGGGGATGCTTTTTTGAGCCATTAGCATCATGGGTCGCTTACGTGACTGCCTGGTCTCAATCCCAGTCCATTTGAGATTATAATCCTGTTAGATGCATCCAACGACGCATCCGTAATCCTGTCGACTGTCGAACAATGGCAATAGAGATGTCAGCAGTGATAAGCACCCACATAAACCTTTGCATAATCCCTCGGCTTACAGATCTGCTTTAAATAAAGTTATACAAAAGTACCTTTTCACATGCTAACAGAACCATTCAAAGTATCGCAAAATGCCGGCAATTAATAAGGCAAAACTCACCCACTCTAACGCCCCCTGTATATGGTAGAGATTAATTTTTAATATGATGGGCTTTAATAATAATTCCTCTTTGATACTCAATTTTACCCCCTCAAAATAAAAGGATTTGCATACTCGCATATATTATTGGGCATACAAGCAGGGCTCGTGGGTGAAGGGAAATGTATAGCACTTCTAATCAAGGACAGATAATTGTTTTATATTTTACATAACATTTTATGGTAAACAAAAAATAGCACAGATCTTAAAGGAGCGCTGCTCTATGATTGCTAAGATCCTTATGATTCATATGAGTGTGAGAGTCATTAGAACCAATATTATTGTCAAAATTTTACACATACAAGCACTTAGAATCACTTTTTAACCATTTTACTAGGTTGTGGGTGGTATGTATGAAATTAACTGTTGTAAAATCACTATTAAAGCTGTAGTTTGTATTTTTTTCTGTATTGTAATCATCTTACACATTGTGGCAAAACATTATGTTGCCATTTTGTTTGAAGATGCTTTTTTTTTGCAGCATTGCAATATAAGAACCATTTTTTGTTCTCCAAAGAACACTTTAGTGAACAGTTCTTAAAAGAGTCATTATTTTCTTAGTGTGAAAAACATTTTTATAATCTAAGGAACCATTTTTAACTATAAAGAACCTTTGTGGATTGGAAAGTTTCCATGGTTGTTAAAGATTCTTCATGGAACCATTGATCTAATTGAAGAACCTTTATTTTTAGGAGTGTTTTGTGGATGTTCTTCATGGGACCATAGAAGCCAAAACAAACAAACAAAATACTTTATTTGTGAGTGTATCAAATAGTCTTTAAGACAAATCACCAAAACCACATTTTACTGCTTGCTATTGCTGGTCAGATGGGACATTTTCTTTCCAGAGGGCATATTATTGGACACAGATATAAACTGATCATTTTTACCAGTACATTTTAAATGTACATGTTAACAATTCTTCTGGTAAATTTTTAGGTGTATGCTGCCACACATAGCTCAACGAGAAGAGATTTTGTGTCCTGAAGGGTCAGTAAAATGAGTCAATTGGTTGGTCAAGATTAATATTGTTGTATTGTCGTGAAGATAGTGCTGGCTGAAAGAATGATATCAGAAAATAGACTGGGTGTGTGTGTGAATCATGAACTGTTGAACCCAATCAGATCAGAGCAGACTGGAGGACATGGAGTTCAGTTACTACGTTGATAGAGTCAAAGGAGAACACATAGTCCATCCGCATAGACCATCCATAGCGCTCCCTTCACCTTCTGACAGCTGTAGATGGAGCCAAAAATGTGTTTGTCTGGAAAACACTCCAAAGACTAGCAAGGTTAGCAGAGATTGGCTCAGTGTTTTTTTCAAAGGTCAAAAGAAACTAAAGTTGTGAATGTTTTTAAAGTTCAGTCTCAGATGTCTTTTAGGGGTTTGCTTATGTCATAGATAGAGCCCGACCGATATATCGTTTTGCCGATATTATCGGCCGATATGAGCCTGTCGCCGATATATCGGTATCGGCGAATAAGCCGCCGATATGAATTTTTTTTTACAGAACATATAACGCAGATAAAATGCTTGAAATGGTGTAATTACTTAGTTTGTCCAGCAGAGCGCGCTCCATTGTTTGCTACTGGTGACCTGGATGAAATGCTTTAAAGCTTAAGTCTATGGAAAACCATTAAAACTTTGAACGGCCATATCTCCATAACGGCGCTGCGAATCCGCACCAAATTCGGGGGATCCCTTCAGCTTGAGGAACCCTCTCGAATCGAGTGTACGTCTAGAGGCCCGCTTTCGAATGAGACAACCCTCGCGTCGATAGCCCCCGGGGTTCGGGAGTTATGGGTGGTTAAATTCGCGGTCCGGCGCCAAGCGATCCTGGGGGGCTACCGACATTTGTCATGTCACATCAAGTGTTTGATCACCACATTTGAGTGATCATTGCAAAAAATGTGTTTATGTATATGTATATACTGTATTCTATATATAGTACCAGTCGAATGTTTGGACCCTCGAATGGGAAAGTGTCCAAAATTTTGACTGGTACTGTACTATAATATACACAAAGAATATCGGCCAATATATCGATATTTGCCTTTTTTTACTCCCTAATATCGGTATCGGCCCCAAAAAACCCATATCGGTCGGGCTCTAGTCATAGATTGCAAACCCATTGGAAATGAATGAATTCTGATCACTGATGTCTTTGGAATCGCTGTCATGTTCATACCTTAACACCTTGATAAGTAAAACTGCATAAAATAGTTACACTTTTCTTTCTCAGTTACTGTATCTTGAATGAGTTTTTACTCCATTGATAAAAAAAATAAAAACTTTCTTGTGTGTGTGTGTGTGTATATTTACACACATTTTTAGAACTGAAAAACAAGACAAAAATACTGCTTTTTTGCTGTGAAGGTTTAGTTCTTCAACATACAGTTCCAGAAATGTATAAACGTTTATTGTTGAATGTTTAATCTGCTCATGCTTAAACAAAAATACTGCTTTTTTGCTGTGAAGGTTTAGTTCTTCAACATAAAGTTCCAAAAATGTATAAACGTTTATTGTTGAATGTTTAATCTGCTCATGCTTAAGAGAACTGTGTGGTTTGAGGGAAATACTAAATCAAATGATTGAGCTTACATGAAAGCAAACCACCCCCATAGAGAGATCAATGTGTTAATATGCAAGTGATTGTTACAGATGTCACACTGGCAGGTTAAAAAATTATCTTAAAGGCAAAGTGGAGGTAAATATAACAACATAATTGTTCATAACGTAACATAATCATTCAACACAGGGATTACATGCTTTCCTAAGCTTTGTGTATCTGTAGGTATATTATGCAACCATTTATTTATATCTATATGTTTTTTTAAGTCTATGCAACCTTTCTTCTTCGTATTATTAAGATTGATGTACTGTACATTATAAAATGGTGGAATATGAGTGTCAATATAATAGTTCAGGCTTTGAGAGTAAAATGCAAAGATGATTCTGATCTTTTCAACAGTGAAATACAGCAACAACAAACAGCTGATGTCTTTCATAGCAATAATGGCAATTTCACAGTAGAATTACATGCCTGATGAAAATAGATGAGCCGTTTGGTGTGGAGCCACGCTAATCTGAACAGTATTTTCTAAAAGTCATGCATGGTTGTACAGATTTTATAAAGATATTACAATAACAATATATTGTCAACAAAACATCCTGCAAGATGCCGTGCATGCAAGTATGCAACACACATATATACACAAAGACACATACATCTGCATGAATCTCAACCCTCGTTCTTGTTTCTTGTATCCATATTTCATGCCTGCATTTCTTGCATTGAATCATCTTTTTCTTTTTTTTTTTGCATTCTCTAACCACGAATCCAAAGGCCCTAAAGTGTTTCATATTTCACCACAGTGATACAGTATTTAAGAAAGCTCCTTAAGGTCTTTTTTTTTGTCTTTTGCCTGTTAATTAATACCATTCAATAAACGATTCCCCTTTGCCATAAACCCGCCACACAGTAACGTATTTAATTAATTTGATTTTGAATGCGTGTGTCTTTTGTTTTCTGTCTTTGGACTGGTTGTACTTACTATATGAAAGTGTGTGAACGTGAGATGTGCTTGTATGTACTTCTTTTTTGTGTTTTCATTTGATTCTTGTGATTGTTTGTTTTGTGTGTGTGTCATTGTAGAGCGTTTCTCAACAGCTCTTGTCTTAGTTAAAGGCTCTTTCTCTTCTTTGTGATGTACTTGTTGGTTTAAAGGTGCATCTACCCAGAATTCCAATGACATAGAGCCTGAAAAACAGGTGGACAGCACTGTAAAGATGGCAGGCGTCATTGCGGGAATCCTCATGTTTGTCATCATTCTCCTGGGCGTTCTCCTCACCTTCAAACGCAGGTACTGCTTACACAAGCACACACACTTTTTGCTTAATTTTACAATGAATAATAGGCTTTATGTATATGCAGTTGCTCATATTTGAATGTACAGTAGCTGAGGTGCTTTTCTTTTCAGAGGAATTTGAGGGTGTTAGTTAGCATTGCTTTTGACATAATAAGCTTTTGTGTCTCCTGGTGAAACATGCACACTGGCTTTCTTTCATTACATCACTTCCTCTCAACCAACTTTACCGCCACCCCTCAACACACCCCCTCATGTCATTGTGCCTCACAAGAGCCCACCTCTTCCCATAGTGTCTCTGCCGTCCCTGCCGCACACTGACACTCGCACACCCTGCTCTTGTGCCTCGTAGGTCTTTCCTCTAGTGTCTGTCTGTTGAACAGTTTATTTAGTGTAGGCATGAATTACGGGGGTGTTTGTCTGACCTGCTATTTAAGGCTCGAGCCCTTTAAATTGAGTCCAGACTAGAGTTTGTGGTAGATGGGATGAGGTTGAAAAGATCCTATCAGTGACAGAACGATATATCAGCCATAATTTCTGTACTTGTGTAAATGGTAGTTCCCTTGTGTCAGTTACAAAATGTATCTGCAGTCTAAATATATAGATAGGCTATTTCTAGGGATGTAACGATTAACCGCGAGCCGGTTGAAAATCGGAAACGCTTTAAGCGCCACCTGCTGGCAGAGAGTGCATCTGCGTCTCATTCATCTCGTCTGCTGTTTCGGTTTCATGCAGATATTTTTTATGCATAGTTTCACAAACTGAAGTCAAACCATTCTGTTTTTGCTTCAAATTTCGAATGTAATTCAGATTAAAAACTGCTCATGTTGCATGTATGCAGCATCTTTGTTTGGATCATGATTAAAATGCAGTGGTTGCCTC